ATACCATTTGCTGAAAAAAAATATTGCTCCATCTTGCATTCTGGCCTCCTGGTCAACACTTGTCCTGTTTTGGCTCTCACATGAGCAGCTCCTGAGCCTGGAGCAAACGGTTTCTGCTCAACCAGTTTGCCTAACAGGGTAAATCTGTTTTTTAAATTTTCACATCTACTGATGTCAGACGGGCTTGGAAGGGAAAGGAATCATTCCTTTGATTCTCGCGTGTAATCCACGTCACACTTCGAATCCAATGCTACTGTAGGCAATTCAACCGTCGTTCTTGGTGCTTCGTTAGATCTTTGCTACAAATGTTGTTGTCTCTGTGTCGTACAGCAACACTGACCAGACAGAGGAAAGGCATGAGACGATTTTAATGGAAAGAACTACTCTTTTCTCAACCCAAATATTGGATAGGTTTCCCAAAACATTCGTGGCTAGGATAATCCTCCCATTCAACTCTGATTGGACAATGTCACTGCTGCAAACGATAACCTGTGAAGCACAGACTGGACGAACCCTTGAAGCTCTTCATTTCCCTGTTCCTCTTGTAAATCAGCTGTGCCAGAGAGGTTTCTCATAGATTGCAGAGAAAGATCCGCAACAGTCTTGCATCTGAACGAAACGAACCATTTGGCGAAAAGACAAATCATGAGTTAACAGAAAGTATATCAGATTTAAATATATGGCAAAGAAATAGATTTTAAAATCGTGAAATGACATTGGAAGAACAAACGAAACAGAAGTTATCAAACAAAATTATGAACAGACATAGAATTCAGAAATAATATAAAGACAGTTATAAAAGTTAACTTTTTAGAGTTGAAACGGCTGTTTATATAATCTTAATAAATCCAATTAATTATAGATATCGCTATTACTATAAGAAAATGTTCTTCGAAAAGAAACTTCCAGAAATTTAGGAATTAGCAGTAACTTAAAGTCTATTAAACCTTGTAATAAAACATTTGGGATAGTTGTTTATTATTTGATTAGGATAGTACAAAATCGAAGAGTATAAACTATTTTTGATAAAAATCAAGTGCGTTAAAAGATGAAGCATGCCAAGCTCTCAAACCAGTTGTCAGACAGGTCATATTTGGTCAAGTAATTCTTCTTTACAGATTACTAATCAAAACAGATGGCAAGTTCGTAGCGTGGCATGCGTTTAATTGCTAAATTTCAAAGGAGACATAAATGCAAACCAAGTAAGCTTGAACAAATCGAGAACATTCCAGAGCCATGATATTTAAGCGAAACCATGATCCCT